GCATCAGCCTCTACACTATTTCAGAGCCGTAATGTTCTGGCTGAACCGCTGCGCTCTAATGCGATGGTCATTTTATGTAGAAGTGATTTCCTTGTGGAAAGTTCCAGAGTGTTTCCCATCAGAGACTATCTCAAAACAAGGAGCAAGATGAAAACCTTATTGGGAAGCAATTAAATATAAACTTGATCATGGCAGTGATACACAATAACAATAATGATGATGATCACTTGAGCAGGGCCCTCCTGTGGAAGTTCACAGACAAATAAATGTGTAAATGTACGGTCTGGTGACAGACAGGGATGCCACCCTGCTGTGGACATGTGCGTCACACACACAGGAAGAGCTAGAGCTGTCACTCCCCACCTGGGGCCAGGGTTCTCTTCCAGCTGCATCCCCAGCTTTCAGTGTCTGTCTCAAAGAGCAGCTGCCACACTCTCCTGGAATCCTCGCCAGCTCTCCTGCCTAATACACGCTGCTCAGCTGGCCCCATGTCTAGCGTGCGAGAACGCATTCTCCTTGTGCACAGGTCATCCCGGGTCTTAGAATCTTGTTCTGCTCTCTCACCGTCAGGGCTTCACGGATTCGCATATTCATTCCACAGACCGTCCTTGGCCGTTGCCTTTGGACAGAGCTTGTATAAAGGCCTTAATCTTGGCCCCTGGTGCGAGCTCACTAATCTGTCCTCCTGCTCTCCCCACGCTGAGCAGCTTTTGGTCTGTTTTCCAGACTAAATGGTGGCATTCTGTATTGGAAAGACAAGCCAGACTCCTGAAGTCGCAGGGGACCTGTGGGGCTCCCTCCCTGTCAGTCCAGCCTCAGGCCATCTAACCGGGAGGAGCAGCAGCTTAAGGGGACCCAGTGAGCTGAGGACCCCAACCCAGCAGACCCCAAACAAAGCCCCTAACATTGAAAACAGCGGGGAATGTGTTTAAAATTCATCTGCAAGAGATGAGATGTGTTGCATTGTTAGGACAAGAAAGGCATCTGAAATTGAATTCGGATTAACTAACAGGAGCTGTGGCAGGCAGTGCCCTAGCTATTCAGTAGAGAACTGAGGGGAGGAGCACAGAGTGGCTGGGGGGGAGGAGGGAGATGCAGGGCCCCCCCACCATCTGGGCCTTGACCAGTCTTAGCAAAATCCAAAGTCTGCCAGACACTGGCAAATGTCTGTCAAGAGCAGAATTTATTTAAAAATGATGGCCTTTCCTTCGATGTAGTGTGAATGATGATGAGTGAAATGAAGTGAAAGTGTATTTTGTAAAACGACATGTAACAACAAGGCTGAATCATCCAGAGAGAAATGAAAGGAGCCAGACACACCCACTCAAAAATGCATATGGTATGATTCTATTTATATAAAGTCCCAAAGCAGGCCACGCGGACCTGTGGGACTCACTGGGTCCCCCAAAGAGTGCTTTCTGCCGGGGAGGGGTGGGTGGTTTCTGGGGCGCTAGCAGTGTTCTCTTCCCGGACCTGGTTGTAACATGAGCTTGTTCACTTTGTGATAATTCGTTGAGCAGAATGCTTATGATTTATACATGTCTTATGTATGATGGTCTTCAAAGAAACCCAACCCTTGGATTGGGCAGCCCTGTCCGTGGGATTTGGGCTTGCAATTGCTAGGGAGGTCCTCAGAATTTCCTGTCTCACATTTCTAGAGTCAGGGTGAGTGGTTCAAAGATCCGAGTAGAACATTAGGGCAACAGTGACAGCTGGGGCAGGGCAAAGTAGGTCCTATATTCGCTTTGGGGACCACCTGATACCAGGTTTGAGGAGTAAATCCCACAGAATGGCAGCGATGAGGTGGGTGGGTTTCCAGGGATTTGCTCAATTCTGGGTGCACCCAACTGTGCGGATTTGTAAGCAGTGGGACCTCAGATCTGTTATTTTGAACTTTCACCCTTTTGCCATAGAGATCGGGGTCAGCGCAGGCTGTGGGACCGTGGCTGTGCTTTTCCACCGGGGGGAGGGGCAGGGGTGGCTCTTATTTCTCAGAACAGCAAGCTACCAGGGCAAAAATTGCCAGATTTCTTTCTCAACTCTTGGCCTGGGTGAAGACTCATGGCTCCTTGGAAAAGGGCAATGAAGGAAAGCTTTTGGAAAGAGAGGGTCTGAGCAGACTCAGCACAGATAAAGAAGAGGGCTCATATCACAACGGGACATGGCAGGGTGGGAAGGCATGTCTGAGCAAGATAATGGGAGGAGGCTAGGGAAGGGAGAGTCCCTGAGGATTCAGAGGCGAGGAAGGCAGGGCAGCTGGTCCCGGGCAAGGTGTGGAGCGGCTGCCTTGCTACAAACCCGCTCTCTAATTCCAAACCTATTTCCAAGCCCTAGTCACACCCAGGGAGCTAGGGAGCAGTGGAGCCAAGGTCATCGCCCTGGGGCAGAGGTGTGGGGCTGACTTTTTCCTAATTGGACTCCAGATATTTGGAGCCATTTGCCACTATCGCTAGCACTAAAAATCAGGTGCTCACCTCCAACTGGGGGTAGCAATCTTGATCAAGAGCCTGTTTGCAATGGGAGGGTGGATTCAGAGAGACAGACTCCATGTTTATTCCCAGCCTCATGCTGGTCAGCCATAAAAATGGCCAGTGGCAGCGGAGGTGGGCCTAGCGCTGGGAAATGCCGGCAGGTGTGGTCAGCACGACCATTCAGCACAAGAGGGAGCAGCTGTGATTGTCTTTCTCTCTGAAGGTTTATGTATCCGACCATGTTTGTCCTGCTGGAGAGCGAGATGTGGAATGAGGGGGAAATCGTTACTGGATTGCAATAATGACACCACAGTGCGTGCGTCCAACTCCCCGGCACAGGTGTTTCAAGGCATCCGGAGGTGCGCATGGCTAGTAACCAATCTGCAGGGAAGTCAGGAAGTCCTGGAGAAAATGCTTTCTTTTTAGCACAGAAGATGCTTTCGGAAAGCATTTTTATATGAAAACGTTATCGAGGAGAGCTTCTCGGAGCCTGGGTCAGGGCGCCAGAAAGTATAAGCAATGACAGCCTCTGCTCTTGCGGCCCCACCCAGCTTCCCTCGCCCAGGCGTTTCTTTTGCAAAACACGTGGGGCTCCAATTCTGAGGAGAAGTCTGCATAGCATCTGGCCGCGCCCGAAGGTGTGATTTATAACCTGTTGCGCTCAAGCATGTTGGTGCAACTGCCCAAAGAGCAGGGAACTCTCAATCAACGCACAGTATAGGGCTTCGCCAGCCAGTGGGAGGCGGTTCCATCCCCGAGCCCAGCTAGAATCACCAGATCTCCAGGACTCAGAGCTTGTCTGGGGTCACCGGGCCCTAAACAAGCTGGGTCAGTGGCAGTCAGGTGTTTGAGGTGCCCAGGCCCCAATGGGGCGGGTAACTGAGAGAGCCTTCCTGGGCCCTGGCTCTCCAGACCCCAGGCCGCCCAAGGCGGGGCGGGGCGGCTGTGTCTCTGTGGTCTCTCCCCATCGAAGGGAGAGCAATCACCCCGGTGATCACAGACTGTCCGCAAATCTGATGACTCCTCGGATTTGCCAGAGTTCTCTGTCCAGTGACACGTGACAGTTGACCAACCCGCTCTGTACTTCAGCTTCCTCATCCGTTAAAGGGACTACCAGTGGGGCTCCGGTGAGGGTTAACTGAAATGTAAGTAATTGGGGTACTTAGCACAGTGTGCAGCCCATAAATAAGTGCTCCATGCATAAACCCGTTAATGAGTCTTTAGCAGCTTGATTTCCGGAGATGATTCTGAGGCCTTAGATGGACCAGCGGTTTCCAATGTACAGTCTGGGAGAGGGAGCGCAGCTAGAAGGCCCCAAGGAAAGACAAACTGGCTCCCTCCCAGAGCCCCGAGAGGAGAGAGTCACTGATGACACCCATACACCCAGACCCCTGTTCCCCTAAGACTTCCTTTCTGAGAATGCTGGGGGGTGGGAGGGAGCAGGTGGACCCAAGTTCTCAGGAAGCCCATTAGGGAGTGTCCAGCTGGCAAATGGGGAGCCGCCCTTTGGCCAGCAGAAGTGGGCCACAGCTGTCTTCTGGGCTCGGCAGATAACACTCAGGCATTTCCAATGTCCCACAGTGAGCAGTCTTACCCCTGGCCATTCCTCCCTTGACCTAAAAATATTTTTTTTTCCTTAATCAATAAAGAAATTTTTTAAAAGAATGCAAAAAAAAAAACCTTTTTTTTCCCCCTAAGCATTTGCACTCTGTTCATCAACTCCGTTGTTTTCTGAGAATTGCGTGGAGTCTAAAGAAAAGAACATTCAGAGGCTTTGACACTGGTTCCCAGGTGAAAATAATATTAACAATAAATTTCTTGAAATTCTCAGCCCTACAGGTTCAGTGTTACCTAACACTCGGCACCCAGGGGACTTGAGTCATTACTGGGTTTGTCATGTCTTGTTTCTGGGACTTTTCCAAAGGGGAGAGAGAAGCCACCTGGAAGTTCACCAGAGTTCACTGCATGGTGCATGGCCATGCCTGTAGCCAAGATTTCCAGATCCTTCTCCACCTGCACCTCCAGAGGAAGTCCCCGCCCCCAACTGTGTGCCACCAAGGAGGCCCAGTTGGAGTTGTGCCCAGTGTTGCACTGCTTTGCTTTTGACTGGCAGAACGAGGCCCTCCCAGAACAGTCCCCTGGGGGGTGCGGGGACTCGGTGTCCCTTCTCGCACTCAGGGTGACGTGTTGTTGGGTGGCTGCTGGGTGGGAGAGAGCAAGTTCCCTTTGGGGTGTGCAGACAGAGCCGGCTGCCAGGGCTGCCCTTGAACGTGGTCATCTGATGACCTCTGCTGGTGGAAGTTCCCCCGCGCGTGTGCACAGATGCCTGGAGCCAGGCCTAGACCATGTTCCTGTCCCCACATCCCTTCCTTCCTGGCTTGTCCTTCACAGACAGCAGGGAGCAGAAGGCCTTTGCAAACCCCCAGAACCGGGGGTGCCTGGGCCAGGCCAGACGGTGCCCCTAAAAGCGTGCTGCCGCTCTCTCTTCCAGTGAGCCTCTGATCCCCGCGGACCCAGCAGGCAGCCAGCATGATGGAGAGCGCACCGTCCACGGGTGTGTGTGTGCTGCTGCTCTTCCTCCACGTCCACCTGCTGAGCGGTAAGTCGGGGTGGCCCTGCCCTCTTTCGCTGCGGGGGTGTGTCCTGGGAGCGGGAGAGTCCCGCTCAGTCCATTCCCTGTGCAGTTCTGGGTCACAGGTCAAAGCGGAATGGAATTAAGGAAAAATGAAGGGGAAAGGAAGGAAAGGAGACGGGAAGGGGGAGGGAATGAGGAAGCTAAGGGAGGAGCACTAGTGACACAATGAATCACAAGAAATCAGACATTGAGTTTCTTGTGAGGGAATGGCAGAAAGATGGAGATCAATGAGCAGAGTGACAAGTCTCAGGGAGCACTGTGTCAGCAAAGGGGGGGGAATTCAGTGTAGGGCCACCGGCATGCCATGGGTGGGTACCAGCTGCATAGAATCCATGGGCTTACAGAAGGGCCGCATACTCCTCAGCCCATCCTACTCCTCACGTGCACTCTCTGTTGGAATTCTACACTTGTCACTTGATCCTAGGTTGCTATTATTTCCATCTCACACAGTACACATATACACACCACCACCATCTCTCCATTTCCACTGCAAAGCTGTGTCTCTCTCTCTCTCTCTCTCTCTCTCTCTTTCTCTCTCTCTCTCTCTCTCTCTCTCTCTCTCTCTCTCTCTCTTTCTCTCTCTCTCTCTCTCTCTCTCTCTCTCTCTCTCTCTCTCTTCTCTCTCTCTCTCTCTCTCTCTCGCTCTTTCTCTCTCTCTCTCTCTCTCTCTCTCTCTCTCTCTCTCTCTCTGTCTTTCTCTGCATCCTGCCAACAAGGGGCAGCCCACAGAGAAGGGTTGCTAGATGCTAGCACTTTGGCATTTCTGAGCTCCCCACCCCTAGGCCTCTTCATCCCAAGACCTCATTGCTGGCGGGGTCCCCTGAACCTGCTCTTGTCACCAGCAGGGTGACCGAATGCTTGAATGGGCCTTGAGATTGATTCCAGCGGCTTCTGGCTTTTTCTAGGACAGTCACCTCCTGAGAAGCCGGAGATCTCGAAATGTCGCTCCACTGAGAAGGAGACCTTCACGTGCTGGTGGACGCCGGGGCCAGACGGAGGCCTGCCCACCAACTACACGCTCTCCTACCACAAGGAAGGGTGAGTGCTCCCGCTCGCCGGCAGCGCAGGGCTGCTTCTGAGTGAGCACTCCCACAGGGCCCCGGGGGACGCTAATACAGCTCCTTCTTCCCGGGAAGGGACCCAAGCATCCGTGTCCGCCTTCTCCTGTTAATGACCTTGAAGCGCTCTCTCAGTGTGCATTAGCTCATCCGCCACCCCAGCAATACCACGTAGTGTCCCCTTAGCTGGAGTTTGCTTTCAGGGGTTTTAGTGACTGGTGATCAGCCACAGTCCAAAAGCATTAGATGGACAATTCCAAAAGTAAACAGTCCCTAAGTTTTTAAATGGTGAGCTGTTCTGAGCCACCTGGTGACATCGCACCTGTCGTGCTCCTTTGTCCCATGTGTCCAGGCCAAGTAGCTACCCATGTGTTAGTCACGTGGGTTGTCATATCCATCAAGTAGCCCCATAGTTGCCTAACCCTACGTCACATGCCTGTGTCCTCCTCACGCCATCTCATCCCATCGGCCCGTGTCACCTCACCTCATCAGGAAAAGGGTAAGTACAGTAGCTTACTGTATTTTGAGAGAGAACATTCATATAACTTTTATTACAGTATATTGTTACAATCGTTCTACTTTAATACTAGTTATTATTGTAAATCTCTTACTGTAGCTAGTTTATAAAATTAAACTTTATCTTAGGTATGTATGTATGTATGTATAAAAAAGCAACGATTTATATGTGGTTCGGTACTCCCCAGCAATCCAGGCATCTACTTTGGATCTTAGACACATCCCCAAGGGAAAGGAGAGTCTACAATAGCAATGTTTCCAATTGCCTGTCCCAGACTGAGGCTGCAGCCCAAGGTTCCATATAAGTGTTGGCTGAATGTTAGTTCATTTCAAGTGCTTATCTGTGAGCCTCGTGCTATTTGTAATTTTTTTAGTAATAATTATTTTTGCAACATAAAAAGACAACCATGGTCCATGAGCTTTTCAAACTAGTGTTGTGTCCAAGAACATGAAAACCCCTAGCCTTATAGGAAGGGGAGGGTTTCCCCTTGGGAAATGGCTAACCCCAGACCCTTGATCTCCCAGAGGGTATGTTTGGAGCCCAGGATGCAGTGCGGACTGAAAGAGGTCACCTGTGGGTGAGGCTTTTGTCACCCCGCAGTGAGAGCCTCCTGGAAGTCCAGGGAGAGCCGCCTCCTTCCCCAGGGAAGCATCGCTTACTGGTAGCAGCCGCTGGCCAGCCGCCCGGTGCCTGCACTCTGTGCACACAGAGCTGTCAGCCCTTCTGGGACCCAAGGGGTGTCAGGTCACCCATTCGGGAGCTCCACTGGCAGCCCTAATGGGATACTTCTCCACACCTGTGCGGAGCGTCTTGCGTTGAGGCCCCCAAGGCCCAGGAGAACAGAATGATGGGCCGCCTGGGCCTGAAATACCTTTCTTCACAGCCACATCACTGCTGCCGACTTGGTGCAATCTGAAATATCTGGCATCAGCGTTTATTCTCTTGCACCTTTTGTAAATGAAGTGTAATTCAATATACGTGTGCAATGAATGCTGCATGTGCATGCCCCCTGGGAGTTGTGTGTGTGGGGGAGGGGGGCCATTTCCTGAGATGACCCAGGGGCAGGACCGTGGGCACGGTGATGCCTTGGTTGTGGAAAGTTCCAGCATCTATCGGCAGGGGACATAATATGTCACAAAGCCCACAAAATACTACAGAAAGAAAGAGTTGGTGAGAAGCAGAGTCTGCAAGCTCTGAAGGGACACTTCCACCCCCTTCCCCAGCATTCTCTCCCCGGTCTCCCTCCCAGAGCACAAAGCCTGGAGGTGCCGTGCATCAGCGCTGATCCCCAAAATCCAATGGTATTGATCTATTAAGAAAAAGCTGGGCCGAAACAGGTTTGGCTCAGTGGTAGAGCGTCAGTCTGTGGACTGAAAGGTCCCGGGTTCAATTCCGGTCAAGGGCATGTACCTTGGTTGCGGACACATCCCCAGTAGGGGGTGTGCAAGAGGCAGCTGGTCGATATTTCTCTCTTATCAATGTTTCTAGCTCTCTCTCTCTCCCTTCCTTTCTGTAAAATATCAATAAAATATATTAAAAAAAAAAAAAAAGAATGTGGCCAGAAAGAAGAAAGAAAGAAAGAAAGAAAGAAAGAAAGAAAGAAAGAAAGAAAGAAAGAAAGAAAGAAAGAAAGAAAGAAAGAAAGAAAGAAATAGATGGGCTCTTCTTACTACTTCCTTACTCACTCCTAGTATATAATATGTTGCAGGAGTCCACTCATCTATGAATGTCCGGACTACACAACGGGTGGCCCCAACTCCTGCTACTTCGACAAGAAGCACACCTCCATATGGACCATCTACATCATCACAGTCAACGCCACGAACGAGATGGGAATGAGTTCCTCAGATCCATTTTTCGTAGATGTGACCTACATCGGTAAGGGGGTGGGGGAGGGATTTCTTACTCCATCGCAGACCTAACGACAATTGGAGTCTTCCTGGCTTGTGAATGAATCACCAGAAAGGAAGATGAGAAAATGCACACTATTCTCATTTACTGATAATTTTTAATGAATCATTCATGATGGTATTTGGGGTCCTTGTGATTCTCTTCTTCCTTTGGCCTTTCTTCTCATCCCCTTGCACACAACAGGAGTGTTCTATTTGTGCTTCTCTTATCCATCCTTCCCTCCAGCCCTCCTCCTGCAACCAATGCCCCCTTCCCCCCGCCGCAAGCTGGAACTTCTGTTCTCCCCCCTCCCCGCCCCCTCTCCTGCTGAAGGACAGAGCTGCTCACCAGAGTAGCAGCTCCTGGAGTTCATCTGCTTCTACACCCACAGGACCAGCTCCAGCTGCTTTACCCACATTGAATTCTCAGTGTATAAGTACTTCTTAGCAACCGGAACTCTTCTTTTACAAACAAAGAATTTGGGGAGTGAAGCATGTTACTTGAATAGCAAGCTGAAGGCCACAACCACACATACAAGGTTTGTGGACCCCATTAGCAAAGCAAAACAAAGCCAACCCAAGAGCTGTTTCTTGCTCTGCATGATCCACATTGAGCTGCAGGGCAAGTGGGCATCACTGTAGTGGCCTCTGGGTTTAGCATGGATGACAGAGGGAATCTTAGGACAAGACATGGGTTAGCCAGGACTAGGGTCAGCCCTCAGCTTTGATAATAATCTAGGGAGAAGTGTTCAATTCAAGGTTACCTAAGATTTACCTAACGCCACCCAACAAGGAAAATTAGACTGGGAATCTCAAATATGTACTTGTATGTCATTGCTTTGTCATGTTATTAATGGCTAATACCACCAACTGGCTCACATTTGAATGTTTTCTGCCCCCGGCAAATCATTGCAATAAGCATGGAGGTAGAAAATGAATTGAATCTTAGTTTAGGAAAATCCAAAAGGTAACCCCACTGACAAGTTAGAATACAGTAAATTTCAGTCATATAAATTTACTTGAGATATGAAGTCTTTAAGATGCTAAATGCCAAATAATTTCTTATTTATGATTCTTTCTTGAATTGCCCTGCCCTCAAAGATTCAACTAGTATTTGAAAGCAAAACAGTGAAAGCAGTTAATGTTCTAAAATGAGTAATTGCTATATCACTTGAAAGCAGTGATTCTCAGCTGGGGTCTATTTTGCTTCCCATAGATATTTGGCAATGGCAGGAGACACTTTTCATTAGCCCAGGAAGGGGAGGCGATGGTATTACTGACATATAATAGGCAGACCAGAGATGCTGCTAAGCATCCCACAATGCTTCAGGATGGCCCCCACAACGAAGGATTACCTGATCCAAAATGCAAATGTGCTGAGGGTGAGAAACTGCTTTAAAGAATTCACCTTGGACATTGTACATGGACTTCTGCACAGTATTTTTTTGGATCAGAGGCATTTCTCATAAGTGTTTAACTTGAGACGTATATTGAATAACTGATGTTTGTTTAGTGAGGGCATATATATAAAGCAATCTTTCTTAGGTATTTGCTTAGTAACTGAGAAGCATAAGGATTAGTGGCAGATTTTCTAACATTCCTTTTGTAGGTTATAATGTCAAGTACACTATCACTACACTCACTCCTATGCCACATGGTGTGAAGAGTGGGCTGAAGAGGTGATAAGTAAAGAGAGAAAGTATTACTAACTCGCAAGACTGAGAGTAGGATAAGGCAAACCAGGGTTCTAGACATCTCACTCTTAATGAGGCACTCACAGACTTGTACTTGAAGGAATATGGAGAGCAAGTGCCTCTTTAATTTTTTAAATATGGTAATATACACATAACATAAAATTCACCATTTTAACCATTTTAAAGTATGCAACCTAATGCTTGGTATTAGTTCATTCTCAATATTATGCAACCATAACCACTATCTGGTTCCAGAAAACTTTCATGACTCCAAATACCCATTATGTCCTAGTTACTCCAGATCTCCCCCTTTACTCCAGCCCCACTAATCTGCATTCTTTCTCTTCAGATTTGCCTATTCTGGTTATGTTATATATATATCATAGGTGTCATATAATATCATAGGTGGCCTTTATATCTGGTTTCTTTCATGTAGTGTAATGTTCTCAAGATTCATCCATGTTGTAGCCTTGTCAATATATACTGCCTTCCTCTTTATGGCTGAATAATGTTTCATTCTATGAATATTGTTTAGCCAGTCACCAGTTGATGGAGAATTGGGTTGTTTTCACCTGTTGGCTATTGTGAATAGTGCTTCTTTGAACATTTATGGGTGAGTTTTTATTTGAACACCTGCCTTCATTTCTTTGGGTATGTGGCTAGGACATGAAATTCATGGGTGACGTGACTTAACATTTAACCTTTAGAATAAGTTCCAGACTTTTTCACAGCATTTTATGTTCCCACCAGCAATGTATGAGGGAATGTCTCCAACACTCTCCCTTGTTATTTTTTACTTCTTGAATTTTAATAATCTTAAAGTGGGAATGAAATGGTATCTTGTGATTTTGATTTGCGTTTCCCAAATGACTGATGACACTGAGGGTCTTTCCTGTGCTTGTTGGCCATTTGCGCCTCCTGAAACTTTGCGCCCTACACATCTCCCTTGCTTCAGCCTGATCCCAACTCCGCTGATCAGCACCTGACATCAAATACAAGCCGCCTCATAAGCAGGGTGGAGTGAAACAGGAAGTCATATAGTTTTGTTTTCAAATGCCACTTTTACTAAGTATGGGATTTCTTTCCTCAGTTGAACCAGACCCTCCAATGAACCTGACTTTGGAATTAAAACATCCAGAGGACCAGAAACCGTTCCTGTGGGTAAAATGGCGTCCACCCGCCCAGGTTGACATAAGATCTGGTTGGCTCACACTACAATATGAAGTTCGATTAAAGCCTGAAAAAGCAGATGAGTGGGAGGTGAGTCAATCATGAGCATTTGGAAGGAACCATGTCCTTTGACAAAGATGAAACCCTTGCTACAGGGAACAAGTCATTCCTCCTAACTACTGGGCATCATGTTGCCCTCCTGACGCTGATGTGGAAGGGCCTTCTCCCCTCCCTTGGGACTGATGGGGTGCATCTTCACAGCTCTCCCAAGGCTAATTCCTTCTTTGCACTCAACAATCTCTTCCACCAGGTTTCCAAACCACCTCCCTCAGGATATCATAGATCTAGACACCTATGAGAGTTCTTCAATGGCACTAAGGGGGAGGAAAATATCTCAGTGTAACCAGTCAATGGCCAGTGGTATTTTTATTCACTTCACATTATTTTAATGTAAATAAATAATACAGAAGCCCTGGCCAGGTAACTTGGTTGGTTGGCATGTCGTCCTGATATGCCAAAGTTGTGGGTTCAATCCCTAGGTAGGACACATATAAGAATCAACCAATGAATGCATGAATAAGTAGAACAACAAAATCAATATTCTCTCTCTGTGTCTCTCAAATAAATGTTTTAAAAACAATAAATAATACATTAAATTATAGGCATTATGATGTTCCACTTTAAGTACTTTAGGTCAGTGGTCAGCAACTGGTGGTCCATAGGCCACTGGTGGCCCGTGAGTTCTGAAAGGTTGGCAACCACTGCTTTAGATTGTCTCTTTTACAAAGGAAACATTTTTAAACATAGCCAAAATATGAAAATCAGACATTGAAAATTAACTAAAATTTTTACATAATTCAAATAGCCTGTCCATATTTTAGTTCTGCCAATTGCTTCAAAAAAAAAATAATGTCTTTAATGGTAGTTTGTCCAGACCAGCATCCATCCAGGACAATGCACGTGACTGATTGTTAGTTACCTTAGTTAGTTTCAGTTTCAGTGTGGTCAGGAGACCAGGCTCTTTGTCCATAGAGTGCTCTCTCTTTTGCATTAATCTGATTAGTTCTTTGTGAGGTCTTTTGCTAATTTCTCTGCCTCTATATTTCCTATAACCAGACATTAGATATAAAGAATTGATTAGATTTGGGTTGGACAATTTGGGACAAGAGTACTTCAGAGGTGACATTATATTACTTCCTATCACATTATGTCAGGGGACACAAACCATCTGGTTGACCTCATAAATGATGCTAAAACTGACCCCTGGATTAGGGGTCAACCTGGTAATTGTGAAGTCACATTTAATCTGTGCACTGTTGTGTCAACATACATCCCAGTTCTCTTCCATCTAGTGGCTTTACTTGAATGATCCTTGAATCAATTACTTCATTAGGGTTCACAAAATAACTGTTTTACGATGTTATTAACTGGTTACCTTCTGTAAAGTAGAATTTTGAAGGCAGTGGGAAGGATGTAGAATATTTGTCTTTCTGAAATAGAGTTCCAATGGAGAGGTAGAAAACCTGTTAATTTTTGTGTGAACTATGTTTCAGACGAAAAGGGATGGGCTGAGAGGGCAGAATGATGAGAGCAAAGTATCTACTAAGTCTGATCATCTGGCCTCACTCCTCCAATAGTTTCTTCTCCAAGGGAAAAGTCTGTTTCTTTAGAACACAAGTCAGAGTGACTTCCGTTTTCCTTGCTCCTCCTCAGGTTCATTTTGCTGGGCAGAACAATCAGTTTAAGGTTCTCACCTTATATCCAGGGAGGAAATACCTTGTCCAGGTTCGCTGCAAGCCAGACCACGGATTATGGAGTGAATGGAGCCCAGAAAGCTCCATTCTGGTACCTGATGGTGAGTGTCTTGGCTACATTTTGCTTATATCATTAAATATTTTTAGAATAGAATGGATATAGTTAATTTGAATGTCATCACTACAAAATAGAAACTATTTTTAGCCTTAGTAAGAGGAATGAGTAGAGGTATGACTTTCTCCATCCAACAAAAAGACACTTGGAAGTGTAGCAGTGTTTGGGTCACTGTCGGTGAGGACCAGTTTCTAAAGCTGCAGACATAGGCTTGGTGTGTGTCAGAGGGCTTGGTGGTCGTTCTGCCTTCCCCATCTGCCCATCCCTGTCATTTAGTCAAGGTCATCATCTAGCTCTCCCAGAATTTGTAAGGTGCTATGCCATCATAAGGGTCTAAGCTGAACTGGTTTTCAGTCTCTCATGTCGATTCCATGTTGGTCCTTAGTTAAGGCACAGTATGTGAGAGGCCCACGTTTCTAACAGTGTCATTACCCATGGTGCCTTGTAGTTCACAAGAGAACGATTCATCTTGCATTTCCCAAGTACTTTATGGTTTACAGTCTTTCTCTTGTTGGGGCCTCCCAACCCTCACAGGTATTCAGAGAGAATATAATTGCCATTAAGAATTAAAAGTGAGGAAATTGAAATTCAGCAGTGAGGTTTGAAATCTTGCCCAGAACCAAGTGGCAAAGCCTAGTGTTTGTGACAGCTTGCCTGGCCAGAGTATCAGGATTTGCACCGGTTTGTCTTACTGGAGAGAGCTGTGGGTCATAAAAGATGTACATGCATCCTGTCCAAACCTGGCTCTCACTTCATAAAAGCACAGAGTCTACAGGCAGAAAGTCTGGATTCAAATCCCCAACTATGGCCTTACAGTCACATGCTAACGAGTAAAACACATGTTAGAGCCTCATCTTTGCATGCAAGGCAATGTATGTAAAGAGCTTAACACCGTCAATGGCTTTTAGTAAGAACTTAAGTGTTACCTTTTATTATTACTGCAACTGACCAGGTGACCTCGGCTCTCCTCTTTAAGTAGCAAATGAAATAACAAGTAAAAGGATTTTAAAAGTACAGATGACTATAAAAAAAAAAAAAAAATACATGGAACCCATGAAAATGTAATAGTATTGGAATAATTAGCCCAGCATGAATGTTACTCTGGATTGCTGTCCAAATCAAAAGAGTGTGTGTAGGATGGGGGGTCGGGGGAGGCCTTGCCTTCAAAAGGTTCATTCATTTGCTTTGTTTGTTCGCCCGTATTTAATGATGCTGTATGTGATGAGAGCTTTCTGGCTGTTTCTTTTTAGATCCCACCAATGCAGACCCCACCGTGTGGATCTTTGTGGCTGTGCTTTCTGTTGTCGTCTGTCTGATTATAATCTGGGCAGTGGCTTTGAAGGGCTATAGGTACTTCATTGTCTATCAACCTTCCTCCCAACCATAGTTTGTGGGATAGTGGTTTTTTAAAAGGCGAAAGCGAGATGATGGAAACTTACATATAATTCAAGCACCTGATTTTAGCCATTAGCTTCAGTGTGCTACCCATAAGAAAACCTTGTCAGTACCAGCAAAAGTCGCAGAATGAGCTCATCTGAAGCTGGTTGGTGCTCTTTCCATCAAACTGAGGCTTGCAGTTGAAAAATAGTTTTTAAAAAAAAATCTGCCAAGAGCAGCTAAAATCAAGAGGAGCAACTAGTGCACATAATCCACTAATTTGAAAATCAGCCCCTCAGTCAGCCAGAGCTAACTTTGCTTTTGGCCTCTATAATTATTGTCTTCAGCACGGATTGTCAATTTCATGTAGCACCGCCTCCCCTCCTGGCCCCAGCTTTAACTCCTCTCTACCATAGTCCATGTAGCAGCTATTTATAGGTAATACTAACCTTTTAGAAATTACAAAGTGATCAAGTGAGTCATTTTTTCTCTCTCACGAATTATTTTACAGCATGATGACCTGCGTCTTCCCACCAGTTCCTGGGCCAAAAATAAAAGGATTTGATATCCATCTACTGGAGGTAAGTACCAGAGGTGGAGCATGTATCCTGCCTCACTGATCTATAATAATGACCTCTACACATTCACACACAGTCCCATCTGTTAGACCTGGCTGCCTCAGTCACCCTTGCCCCACTGTCCCTCCTCTTTTGAGAAAGATGCATGAGGCCTGAGGGTCCTTCCTAGGAGACATTAAATTAGAGGGAAGAGAAAGACAAGAAAATAAGACAACACACAGTCATGCTCTCTAGACTTACCAGATCTATTCATAAGCACAGCTGTGAGCATTTTGTACAAATAATCAATTTAGAAAAGAGGTGAATATTTTGTTTAATACAAAAGAGGGACCTACCGCCCGCCTGCCTTATGGTGCAAGCTTTCACTTGAATGTTCTTTACAGAAGGTCATGGTGACAGAATAGCCTGCTGCAGTGTTGGCTCTGTTTGGGCTCACAGTTGAGATTGGGTCAGTACAGTGGGCTGGTGTCTACCAAGGCCCATTTAGGCTGATTCAAGTGGGAATTAAATGTAAGTGTTTTGAATGAAAATATGGGTTAGAACATTGTAAATTTCTCTGCAGGTTGAAATATGTAGTTTCTATTTGACCTTAAGTTTAACACTGACATATATATATTTTTTTTTCAATTAACTATGCAATATATTATTTGACCTAGCCACTGTGAGGCTAACAGTACAAGAATGTGAGAAGTGAGTCCCAGAGAATTTGGCTTGACTGCATTCACTTTGACTGCAAATATCATAGCAGGGACTCAGGCCCTGGAATTTGGGTTCCTCGTTCAATGCTTTCACCCCACTATCCTTTAAAAACCAGCATGAACATCTCAACTCACTAAAGTAAGAACTATTTGACTTTGTGGTCATGGGAGCTTAATGAAAAAAAAAACAAAACTTCTTTTTCTGTCAAAAACACAAAAAACGTTGTTTTCTCAATCACATGATTTCCAATCCTCAAAAGAACTCTTCCATATGACACTATTATTCCCATTTTACAAATGGAGAAACTGAGAACCACTAAGCAGCTTGTTCAAAGTCAGTACCCATTAGTGAGTGAAAAAGCCATGATTTAGACATCAGTACCTGACCTAAGTCAGAGGATCAGGAAGAAGAGTGGCAAGTAAGAGGAAAAGGCGAAAGGAGGAATGAGAGAGACGGAGAAGGAGGAGGGAAAGGAAGAACAAGAGGAGAAAATATGTACTAGCAGGAAGAGAGGGAGAAGAGAGAGAGGAAATGTAGTAGAGAAGAGAGAAAAGGAGGATGGGAGAGGAAGAGGGCAGAAAGAAGGAATGACGAAGTAGGAAGAGGAGGAGTTGGAAGGAGGAGATGAGAAGCAACTCACTGCTTCCAGAGTCGAGAAAGTGGTGGAGGAGATTAGGAGGTCAACTACCAGATCTTATAGCCTCTGAGTCCCAGAGTAAATGTTTCTTCTTTAACAGTTATGTTTCTCACCTGTGCATATGCTATTTGCCCATTAAACTCATAATCATTATTGCTTAGAGACTAAGTTAAAATCATGAGTTGACTTAAAGAAAAATATTAGATGAATAGAAGCCTAGGAGGTGATTATTGAGGGCCTGTTTGGGAAATGTCTAAAGTTTGGGAAATGCTGCTAGACCGTTATAGCTTCCAGCTGCCGTGGCCATGAGCACAGCTGCGCTTTGATGCTGATTTGGAATGTTCTGAAGCTCACAGCCATTCCTTCTGTGTCTTTGTTTTAACAGAGGGGCAAATCTGAAGAACTGCTGAGTGCCCTGGGGTGCCAGGACTTCCCCTCTGACTGTGAGGACCTGCTGGTGGAGCTATTAGAGGTCGTTGACAACGAGAACCAGCAACTGGTGCCAGTCCATTCAAAAAAACACCTTGATCAAGGTCTGAAGCCCAAACACCTGGATCTCGACAGTGACTCTGGCCAGGGCAGCTGTGACAGCCCTTCCCTTTTGTCCAGCCATCATGAGGGGCCCCAGGAGAGTCCCTCCACCTTCCACACCCCTGAGAGCGCTGAGAAGCCAGAGAACCCTGGAAGAAATGGAGCCCACACCTGGGACTCTCAGAGCACCAGCGTGGGGGGCAGAGTCCCCTATTTCTGTGCTGATGGACCCAAATCTTCCACATGGCCTTCATCGCAGCCCCCCAACCCCAGATCTTCTTACCACAACATCGCCGACGTGTGCAAGCTGGCCATGCCCATGGCAGGCTCCTCTGCCACTGTGCTGGACAAAACAGACACACGTGCTCTGACGTCTTTGGAAACCACTGAGACTGGAGGGGGGGAGGAGGTGGCCGAGCAGAGAGGGGTGGAAAGCTTCCATTCTCAGACTGACCCAGACACCCCATGGCTGCTGCCCCAGGAGAACACCTCCGATGTCTCTGCTAAACCCTTGGATTACGTGGAGATTCACAAGATCAACAAAGACGGGGCGCTGTCCTTGTACCCCAAACAAGACGAGAACAGCAACCAGGCAGAGAAGCCCGGGGCTCCCAAGGCCAGCAAGGAGTACGCGAAGGTGGCCGGGGTGACGGAGAGCAGCATCCTGGTGCTGGTGCACGAGTCGCCCGCCCCCGACCTGGCTTTGTTTGAAGAACCAGTTGAGGAGGCCCCCCCATCCTTGCAGCAGAACCAGGAGGAGAAAGACCGGGCTGCCTTCGCCATGGCATCCAGCTCCTGCAGACTGCAGCTGGGGGGGATGGATTACCTGGACCCCGCGAGTTTGAAGGACTCCTTCCAGTGACGGCTGGCTCGTTGGGATGGCCGGTTAAAATGTGATTTTTCTTCAGGTACTGCTACCGCGCACATGGAATGTACTCTCCTAGAGAACGTTCGAGAATGGGGTTCCGATGACACTACTAAAACTCACAGTTCTCTCTTCTTCATGCTCCATTTTCAACCAGTGGCCTCTTCCTCCAACAGCTGATTCCGGATCAGATCATTCTGTTTCCTGTGATTTGTTGATCTAGTTTTTGTTTTCAGTTATAAAACTGCATGTTCGATGCAATAGAAGCACCATTGCTCAGTGTCCTGAGGGACTGTGCCAATAGGGAAAGCCTCAGAAAAGGCGCCTGTGGTTGGGCATGGGACAGGAGGAGATGAAGGAGTTAGCGTAGCTTGGCGCAGGAAGATGATCGATGTGAGAAGGATGCCATGTAAGCTGCTTTTGAAAACCAGTTGCTTATCCTTTGCACGCCTCCCCCATTTTATTAGGATTAACCAAATACAGCCCCGTGCCAGAAAGGATGCATTCTGGGACCTGACACACCATTTACACCACCTCCTGTTACCTTAGTGACGTGTTGCTGGTATGCACCTGACAATCATGCCTCCATCTCTTTTTCTTAAAATAGTTGGAATCTGGTGAGCAAGGATGCCCCTCCCCCACATCGTGTTTCATCCTAAAGCCTCTCAAGAATATAGTTTTGGAGAGTGAGGTTTCCTTACACGGGAGGCAAATGAGTTTGACGTGGTGAATCCTCCTAAAATGGTTTCCTGCTTCATTTCAATATGACAGATAATTTATTATACACCCCTGTCTTCTGGGGGAAAAAACAAATCCCCAAGTACTAACTTTAATTTCAAAACTAACCACAGCAAGATGGTCATGGAGATACTGCCTTACTGTACATACAGATTCTACTTTAATACCAGACCCGTACGTTTAACAATGTATTTTTGAAGACTATTTTTCTACCACTCGGCGAAGTAAAAGAGTATTTTCTATCTTCCCAGTACAGCTGTTTACGTAGTCAGAGGGCACAGTCTTTTCTGCCGAGGCTGCAGGGAGCATATGCAGTCCACAACAGTATCCGCAGTCCCCATTTGGGGAGCAAATGTCATATCAACAGGAATGTGAAGTGGGTGACAATACTCAATTTCCAATACAGCATGGTATAGTTTATCTGGTTCTTTTATCTCCAGATACACTAAATGACAATCACCAATAGCGGGTTAGGACTCTCCACACACAGAATTATTTCTCCTGTAATTTAGGGCTAATCTGGGGCTCCTGGGTGAACATTCTAGAAGCTATCAGGAAAAAGGAGGGTGGTGACATTCAGCATACTGTTTTAAAGAGAGGGTTTTGTTTTGCTTTGTTTTTCTGAGCAATCTTGGACAGCAAAGATATTTTCAGCGAAGCCATGAGTTAGTTATCTCTCTGGAGTAGATCCATTTGCAAAATCTTGGCAGAAGCAGAGAAAACACTCACGTCAGAAGTTTCCAAATAAATGTTTTAAGAAACAGCATCTGTGGAGTGGTGGGCACAGCTACAAAGACCAGGGTCTGGTAGTAAGGATCTCTGAGTTAGTGCGAGGGGCCGGCTCCCCAGGAGGAATCAGAAGCCTGGATCTCCATCTTACAGAGGGCGTCCATAACTCATGAGCTGCCTCCCTCTCTTGTTTATTTCACCTGATGCCAAATACTTTCCCTGTGTCCACTCACCAGCTAGACTTAGAGAATTTGAGCTCACCTCTGTGAGTTGAGTATTCCATCCAACAAGCCCATGTTGAGAGGAACTGGACGCAGAGGTGACCTGATGTTGGAAAGGGAACACACTGTCCTGGCGTCCGGATTGCAGAAATAACAGACCTGAGGCTCTGTTCTCCCAATGCATAAACATCGTAAGATTATGAGGAACATTTGTAAAAGTTGTCCCCAAGTTCATCCTGTCTCCTAGATCCTTGCTACTCAAAGTCTGGTCTGAGGACCAGTTGTGTCATCATCACCTGGGCACTGCATGGAAATGCAATTCGGCCTCCCTGGCCCAGAATTACAGAGTCATTACCTGCATTTGACTAAGTTCCCCAGGTGACCCCTGTGGGTAATGAAGTTTGAGGAGTATTGCCTTACATGACCACTTCCACGAAAAGCTGTTTTAGCAACTGGACACACCTCTCTTGGAAAGTACAAGTCGTTTGTTTGACTTACCCCGGACAATGTTGTATGGAAGGAGAAGGCATGGGTTTTTTAATCTATTTGAGCTTTAAGATTCACAGGATGGTACAGAATGACCTGTGGAAGGACACACAACTTCTAAGAGGGCCAAGGGATGTAGTCCACCTTGAGTAGCACTGACCAAGACTCTACCCTTCAAAGCCAATGCAGACGAAAATGTTCCGCAAATAGTCCATTGTTCTCAAGATGTACTAGTCTATCAGTCAGTCTGGTAGCTTGCAAATTAAAAAGTAATCTGATTTTGGCATTCATGAAAAAATGTCATAGGTAAAGATTTAAGTTGAACTAAATTTTTATGAAAACACCAATTAGCCACTCACTAAGTCAAGCCAAGTCTATATTTCTTTGTCAGTTAGGACTCTATTTTAATTAATATTTTTTTCCATGGGTAGAATACTTTCCATCAAGAAAACAGCTAGTCGAATGGGAAGATGCAGGTTGGGGATCAAGAGTCCTAGGCTCTCGTCCTAACTATCCCACACTGAACAGATCAATTCCCTTCTCGGAGCCCCCGTTTCCTCTGAAAGAAATATTGGTCCAAATAAACTCTGATGTCCTTTTAAATTCAACTCCCTGACTCCATGGCTCACTGGCAATTTTCTAGCCAAATAATTTAACCAGTAAATGCCTTGTATCCTGCGAACAAATAACTGCCCTTCATCATAGGAATGCAAGTACTCTTCCGTGATGTGCTGATCGTTTCCTTTAAAATCATCAGTTCCAGCTTGTCCTAACACACCACATGTGCATTTTATAAATTACATAGGCACAGAATCACAATCTCAGATTGTGCACAAATATGTGTGTAGAGAGAAGAAGAGGCATGAGATTCTTTAAAAAGACATTTTGAAGGTGGCTCTACTTTTTAGAGAAATGATCTTTGGCTGAATGAAGCCATGCTTATTTCTTGCTGAGTCCAACAGCCCCAAATCTCCTTTCTTATAGTCGGCTGCTGATTCTGGTATTTTTTTCTCTCTTCTAGATTACCAACCAACATTGCACAGTTGGTGTCATTTTCTGAATTATGTAAAGTCATATTTTTATAAACAAATGCTTAAATATTCATGTTATGAAGCACATGGAAGTGGGGTAGCCAGTAGGTGATTTATGGAAGCTTGTGGCCCAAACTGCACATGGGCTGTGGCCGGCTTTCACAAATGAGTATTAGGCACCTCTACATGAGCACAGTTCCTCTCAGCCATGTCATTGCCACTTCGCTGACTCTTCTTTCCCCAAAGTGCCTCAGGCCAATCCTGGGAGGCAGTTACAGATTGAAAACTTTCTTTCACTGATTTAGCCCAAAGTGGGTCCATCCCTTAGTGCCTGCTCTAATCAAGGAGTTTGACTGCTTTTCCCATAATGACCCACTGAATGAGAGAACCCTGTGAGTTAAGGAGCAGCTGGAGGCTGTGGAGGAAACCTGGCTCTTTTGCTGGCTGCCTGCTGCTACCCATCGCTTCCAGAAAGAGGTGGCCCTGCTCTTAGTACTGCCCCATCTCCCTAGAGTAGGCGAGAAAGAAATAGATTTGTATGCATCATACAAAGTGCCTTTCTTTACTTTTATATATTTTTTTAAGTTTCCTTTTCACAAAAAGGAAAAAAAAAAGTGTATTGAATGGAAAGTAAACGTTTCTTTTTTATGTAAATGAATGAAGAAGCCAAAATAGAATGATGAAATGGTCTAAGGTCCAACCAGCAACTGCTCAGAGGCCTTTTAAATGTATTGTTTAACTGAAGGACCACAGAGTCGATGTGAATCATGTGACTGACTTTGATAAGAAATTGACACTGGCTAGGGTTTAGGGAGTCAATCTGCCACCCCCAGATCAACTGACAAGCATATTGATGCCCGTAGGCATGGCTGTGAAGTGCATGCCTGGACCTGAACAGGCAGTGCACACAATGGAACTGTGCATAGGCAAGGAAATGGAAAGGACTCGGGTTGCTCCTGTGCTGGCTCATGCAGATTTGCCGTTGATAAAGGCGCCGAGTGTACATCAGTGAACACATCTCCTGCTCTGCCTTTTCAGTGGCTGCACAGTTGTGTTGTTGCTTGGTGGTGGCTGAGCGTTCAGTTTCCAGGTCTCGGGCACATAGGTACTTTTTAAATGTGATAAAGAAGCTTTTAAGAGAAAGCTGTGGGACGTTAGTCAAATAGAACAGGCTGTTGACTTGATGCAAATCCTTTAAACTCTAGCCACCATTTTCCTCACCTGTGAAATATGTGGGTTGGCCAAAGACCATGTTACAACTCTAACCATCTCTGATTTCCATGACCTAAGTAAAATCTAGGATTTCTGATGAAAGGCCCAAGTAGAGTCAGAGAAGCATGGTTGGTGTGCCCTTGACCTGAAGCCGTGAACAGTGTGGCTGGAGCAATGCTTGAGAGTAAAACAGAGATCCATCCCTCCGCATCAGATGGACATGATTTAGCATCCTTGCTTCTCTTCTTAATTGTCCATACTTGTAGGCTTTCTTCTCTCAGTGCAGGGCCTATAGTTTACCTAGGAGTTACTCATGGCTGTAGCAATTTTAGGAACTGCAAAAAAACACCTGACTTATTTCTAAACAATGACTATGGCCCTGCAAAAGGCTGAGTTGGGTGTTAAATCACCACCCAGCCATCAAAGCCCAGGTTGAGGGTCACAAGTAACCTAAGTTGGGGATTTGCATGCTTAGAGATTCTAGCTCTATTCATTAATTACTAGATTAATTCCAAAACCATTCATAAATCCAAGCGGCATGGACAGCTCGGTCCTGGAGGCCTTAATGCTATAGAATGAT